TTATCCTCTAGAAATTTATTATATACAACCTTGTGCAAATTAACTGAAACGACACGACCGCTTTAGTTTCCTTTCTTTCACCATAGAGTCAGTTTTAGACCCACTAGAGGGACAGGGTTTAATCGATTTCTATTTTTTTTCCTCAGATTATTGCGACAGAAATATTTGGAATTAGTTGAAAATATTTCTCAAAGTATAATTTGTTAAATGATAACCATTATTTTATAATGATTTTAAGAACTCTTTTTCACTCTTTTGTCAAGTTCATCCCATGGTAATTCAGAGGAAGGGCTCTCAAACATTCAAACTTTTTCGAACTATATATATATATATATATATATATATATATATATATATATATATATATATATATATATATATAAAATATAAAATGAATAAGTATACATTTGTTCCCTTATCGTTTCATGCACATAGCAACCATCAGGCACATATTGAAAACTTTTCTCATTATTTATTTATATATACATATATATATATATATATATATATATATATATATATTTTGTGTGTGTGTGTCTGTTTGTGCGTGTGTGTGGGAAGTGCAAATATCGTGTTTATGTTCCAAATTGATGTTACCTAAACAATTAAACGCGGAGGATACTATAATTCCGGTATTTTTAATTTTCTTTCCTCCTCGATATTTAATTTTCTGATGAAGCGTTAATAAATGCGAAACATGTTCAATTTTTTAAACTTTCCTACTTATCCCTTATCCTCCCATTCTATCGGATACCTACACATATATAAGGGTGGCATGTGGATTGAGTTTAGGCATGAAACAGACAGTCACCTCTGAGTGTTGAACTCAATGCCAAATTCTAATATATATATATATATATATATATATATATATATATATATATATATATATATATATATATGTGTGTGTGTGTGTGTGCGTGTATATATATAGATATATATTAGTGTTCATGTTTCAAAATGACATTAACTAGATAATTAAATACAGAGGTTGAGCAATTCATAATGCTAAAATGATAGCCAGACCTGACGATCCCTGACTAGATTAGAAATTTTAGATGTGAAGATATATTTTATAATTTATATATATATATATATATATATATATATATATATATATATATATAGAGAGAGAGAGAGAGAGAGAAAATATGAAGTGAATGTGTGCGAATGGGAACGTAGATAGGTATGAAAAACCATTATGGAATGATTTTGCATGCCAATTTACACAATATATATATATATATATATATATATGTGTGTGTGTGTGTGTGTGTGTGTGTGCGCGTGTGTGTGTGTACTTTATTTTTATATTTATTATATATATATATATATATATATATATATATATATATATATATTATTCCTCTCCTGTAGGACGACTCAGAGTTTATACGCATCGCGAACTTCAGGTGCTGAACATAAACTGACCATTACGTTTTCGCGCGGGAAGATTTGTTTTTTTTTATCTATCGATAGTTCACCTTCTGTAAATCGCATAAGGAGCAACCTATTCATCTCTCAGTCCAACTGAGAAAAAAAAGTAAACTGTCACTTAAACATCAAATATTCATCAGTTTGATGTTTTAATTTATCTTTTTAAACATGTTTCATCAGTTGTGAGTTTAAAAAAAACTCTACATATTTGCGACTTTCGTAAGCACAGACATCCTCATTCGTAAGTATATACTTGTGTGTATGTGCATTTATAAGCGAGTGTTTCTGAGAATACCTATGTGTATATTTTTGTATAAGTATCCTTTTGTGATACTCTTTTTGTGTGTATGTCAATACATCATGAGAATAACACAAATTATTCAAAAAGCCTCGATAACTATCAGATGAACGTTTATGATTATTAAATATAAATTGTTTATAGCATACACACACACGTGTGAATATATATATATATATATATATATATATATATATATATTGACGAAGTACTGTGGGGTAATTGGAGTGAGGAATCGTCGAGCCGAGTTCGAATTTCACTCGAATCTATTACATTCACTTAGGTGCTAATATCCTTGGGAAAGTTATAAATCCTCTTCTCCCCCGACCTATGGGTAAATAGTAGGAGAGACTGGGTTCTATAACCTTGGATGGCAACTGGTCTACTGCAGAAAGAAATGGCAACCTGCTGGGAGATAAACTCCCTCGTCAGTCATGTATCGAAAGATACATGATCGCCTAAGCGTGTATCACGCCTGGCACATAACTGACTTAGTGCACATAGTGCACCAGGTCTCTGTATTCGGCCCTTCAAAAAGTGAGATTGGTTCTGCACAAAACCTTCACCATTATAAACAAATCTCATGTGCTGGTCTTTGGCTGTCTGTTCCTAGGAACTGAGATGCTTGACCCTCATACCTCGAATACGACGGGAGAGTCCACCAAGGGAAAACACTGTTACATAAGCTGGAATGACCAATCAAAATACAAGTATATGAGAATTCAAAAAACTTGACAACGAACTAAGGTTATAATAATTATTTAATGCTTTAATGTTGGGGTTAGACTAAAATAGAATTCATTCTAAATAATGAATATTAAATTATACGATAAAATTTTAAATTAGAAATTACCCATTTTAAAAATTAAATTTAATCTATATTAAGTTTAAAATTATAAAATTACTGAGGAAAAAGAAAAAAATACATGTTATTCTATTTATTTTGTTTTTTATTGAAATATATATATATATATATATATATATATATATATATATATATATATATATATATATATATATGCGTATTTAGGCAGCAATCCTTCTTTCATTACTCGTAGCGTACTTGTTGATAGCAAAAATACAGTAGTATCGTGTACATTCAAAAAAAGGCAAAAAAAATAATGGAAGCCTTATTAATAAAAATAAAAAAACAACACTTAATAATACCAACTATGAACTATATGTTGACCGTGTTTTGAAAATGAAAACATTTTATAAATACATATATAAAACAATCTATTTCTTGTTAACAGTTAATATATCTCAACCCTGAAAATAGTTAAATATATAGCCAAAAGCGCTCAGAAAGAAAGAACAATTTTACAGTTATTCTCCGAAAAGAAAAAAAAATGGAAAATCACATGAGAAATTGTATAAAAAAACTAAATCAGAACACCTCGTCTATCGTATTTAATGAAATGTGCATACATATATATATATATATATATATATATATATATATATATATATATATATAGAGAGAGAGAGAGAGAGAGAGAGAATATCAATGGTCAATATATATATATATATATATATATATATAACCAAGAGGATATAATCCAGGTGGCGCTCTATGTCGAAGACAGAGCAAGAATATAATATAAAAGGCTCAATCACTAATATTTCATGGTTAGAATTTAATACATTGGAATCGTAATCACGACCCAGTTCATCAGACATACAAATTCAAAAAGAAAACAGAAAATATATCTCCAGTTAAAAAACAAAACAAAAAAACATTTCAGTAATAGTGGATATATGTGAGTGAGAAACAAGAGTGAAAGGGAAAGTCTGAAAGATTTAAAAAGAAGATAAAGAACAGGAGGAGGCCATATGGGAGGGTGAGAAATATAAGTTTAAAGAGAAGTTAAATAATTAGTGGGGGTACAGATAAATACGAGTAATTATCGGTTGCATAAATAAATATATATATATATATATATATATATATATATATATATATATATATATATATATATGCTTTTGAACTCACTTTGTTTTAAGTTCTAAGTGAACGATTCGGGTTAAACACGCCATATATATATATATGGTAAAATATATTAGGTTGGTGCAAAAATAATGACGGAAGAATGTCGTTTTTTTGATGTATTTTTTAACGTCAAAAAACGACATTATTACGTCATTATTTTTGCACCAACCTAATAGCTTTAAGGTATGCGATATTTACGGGTGAAAGTGCTCAATATCAGGGATAAAGCATATGTAAATACAAAGGTGGACTTTGAAGTCAACACTCTGACAATGGCGTTTAACATGAAACAGACTGTGGCCTCTGGGTGTTGACTTCATTGTCCACTTTATACGAAAACACACACACACACACACACACACACACACACACACACACACACACGTGGAATCTCAGGTGGAAATAATTAATGATAAAGAACATTTGTTTTTGTAACAGTAATTGCTAAATTTAAAGAAGTTATACCACGATTGTCTCTTCCCCGCTAAGTGCGAGAGATGAAGCTATTAGAGTGGAAGAGACGGCTACATTTAACAGTTTCGACAGTGAAAGGGTGAGAGCAAGATGTCAGTCTAGTTGAACGCTTAAATTCAGAAAGTCTGGGAACCAGCGAAAGCAGCTCATCGGAGCAGTTACCATGAAAGTATTTGTAAAAAAGACAGAGGGAGGCGACGGCACCACTTTGAGAGAGCGACTGCAGACGAGATGCCAGATGAGGGCCAATTACATTGCATATCTGTCTCTGGATTTTATCAAGGACCTTGGGACAAACAGAAGGGGCTTCAGACCATATATGGCAGCAATACTCCATCCAATGGCGAATGGTTGATTTGTAGATGTGAAGGATCGACTCCGACGAGAAAAATTTCCTGGTGCGGCACAGGGAGCCAACTTTCCTAGCGCTGGACGAAGCTATTGACTCAATGTATTTGTTCCATCTCAGGTCAGCAGTCAACGTGAGACCGAGCAGTCGCAAAGAGGTGCTCTCGTGGAGTTGAGCGTCAGACATTCTAATGGGAGGCAGGGATGGTTCTCTTTGCTGAGTAATAGAGAGCAGATTTGTTTTTGAGGCATTAAAGTTAACCAGCCAATTCCTGCCCCAGTCAACAACCGATTGGAGGTCCTTTATGTGTGTGGGCGTGTGTTTATGTCTGTGTGTGTGTGTGTGTTGGGGTGTTCCAGACGTAATTACTGAATGTTCTTGTTCGCAAAAATCTTATTTTTGAACATTTGGTTAAATTTTGGGAAGTGGCCATGCCGACAGGTTTTCAGCACCCGAAAGCCAGATAGATAGATAGATAGATAGATAGATAGATAGGAATAGAATGAGATAGATAGATAGATAGATAGATAGATAGATAGATAGATAGATAGATAGATAGATGTTGAGGGGATTATTACTTTTCTTTTTTAAGATACACAATAAATGCGCATACGGTCCCTAATCAATGTTATTAATATATATGAAACTATAGCCTGTTGCAGACTTGAATATTTGTTGCTATAATTTCTTTATTTTCATTATTCTAATCCTCGAGGGTTAACTTTCTGTCTCGCCATCTAATACTCTTGACCACAAATTGGATCATCAAATCATCCACATCATCTGAACTTTGATGAGGTTAATAACATACCCAGGCAAGGTAATGTTCTGGTGAATATCTGCTTGCCAGGAAATTCAGAATTTTGAAAGGGGATATTTCATTTTTACTAATCATAATCATTACAAGACAATGAAATAAATCGTTAATTTGAGTAGGTGGATGTACAGGGAGAATTAAGGACAAAAACATAACCGCGAATCACAAGACATAGAGCACTGGTAATAATAATAATAATAATAATAATAAATTTGATGCTCCACCAAGCAAAGCTTTCATGAATTCTGGTCTTATTTTTTGATTTTTTGTTTCGTTTTCTACAGTTTTCAACAATTTGCAAGTTGGTTCAATTCGTAGGGTTCAATTTTGATCTAATTTTCACTCTGAAAAAAGTGTGAATCTATCCTGCTCCAACTATGGGTTAAATATCAGGGGAGTCTGAACACTCTTGCATTGAGTGCGAACCAGTCTACGAGAATGACAACTCTAAGTTCAAATCGCCGTAAATAATTATTTGTTTAGCCTTGGCAAGATTAGTAGGAAAACTCCCAATTCAAATCCTCGTAAATAAAACTGATTGGTTCGTTTTCTTCGGCTTATCATCTCATTGCAGATTATTTAAACCAGAAAATATTTTTAGATTGGAAGATTTTTTTTTTTAAACTAATAATGATTTAGTGGTACAACTCAAACTGATTAACCCATAGATGGGGGAAGAAAAGGTGAATTCGTACCTTTCCCAAGAGTATTTGTGCGTAAGCTAATCTAACGAATACAACGGGAACTGGAACTCGGCTCTGCGATTCATAATTCCAAGCCATTAGCCATTGAACCACCCGCACATCCAAGCATACATTAATTTATTATAACAATAATAATAATAATAATGTTATATAGGAATAAAGTGTTGCTGCCGACACTTGAGTTTGAACATAGATCGCCGGGGAGCAAACACAGGCGATCCCATTTTTGAATTAAGTAGACCACGTAGGAATTAGGAAGTAGCGTGACGTCTAAATGATCACCATTTCTATTCTATCCTCCATTACTATTCGGATCTGTATTTCTAGTCTATCCTTAATTACTAGTGTTGTGGACCCGGAAGAGGTCCGAAAGAAAACTCGAACTCAACAATTCAGTGAAAACGTATTATTAACAAATAGAACGAATACAGAAATGTTGCACGTCCGTCTGACGGCAAAGTACAGTAGTCAACTCGTCTTCTGTCTAAGTCCTCTTGCGAGGCATAATAAGACGAGTTTATTTTGTCCATGAAGGTAAGTCCCCATAACAACTATACAAACCGCTATTCTCTACTCTATTCACTGTACGCTTTTCTCTATCCAAATCACTATACGGTAATGACTGTTCGACTGAGTATTATCGAGCAAGTACTATGAAGACGAGTGCTATTCGGAGGCCTCTGACACTAACATTGTTCAACGGCGTTAATATAGTTGTAACTGCGATTATAAAGTCTCTACTACAATGAACATTACGAAAGTGACAACGGGTGTTCGTTGACATCACTAATAATAATAATAATAATAATAATAACAATAATAATGGTAATAATAATAATAATAATTGCGCTCAAATATACGCGAACTAATATATTTGACCTTTGGCATATCAAAAGTAGAGCTACTCTCAAAATAAAAAAATGCAAATACCGATTTTATGACGCAAAATGAAATATGATTGTAAACAACATTGTAATCAGATGAAGCAAGATGGCTCAAAAAGAATATAAAAAAAACAAATATGTCAGAGAAGGAACAGTTATACACTAAGAACTCTTCAAATAGCTCGTGTTCGACCATGTAAACGAGAAACGGAAACTGACATCAAAACTGATTTCCCCACGCTTATACATTTGATGAGATTAAATTGAATAATCTTAAAAAAAAAAAAAAAACATATGTAACCTAGCCAGACGTGGAAATGGCTGCATTAGTAAACCACAGAATGAAAGACCAGAAAACGAAAAACTGGGAAAATACCAGGACCTTGTTCGATAGTTGAAGAAAAATGAGTGGAATAAAGTTTTAAACATGCCGAAATTTATCTGATGCATTTGGAATCGTACTGCATATATGAAAATCGGATCAGATGAATGAAAAGATTTAACCAAGAACTGAGAATGTCCAGACCATGACGGTTTCAAGGATACCGAGGAAGGTGCTGGAGATGAAAAAAAAATTGACATTTAGTGAGAACATGCAAATTTGCAAATTGATTGATATTAGCGTACCGAATGAAAGGCACATCTGAACGAAGACTTTTAGAAAAAAAAAACAAACTTACAAATAGAAAGACCTGGAGATGAAAATAAAAAAAAAGTGGTTGTTGTAAAAACAAAGAAAAAATTCAACAACAAATTTTATTGTTGTTATTTTATTTATTAGAATCTCAGCAGGGGGCTTAGTCATTGTAAAGAAAAGAATTCAACAACAAATTAAAAAAAAATAAAAAGAAAAAAAAAAAGTATGTCTTTTTAATAATAATGTATTGCAATATTTTTATTGTTGGTAATATTTTTTTCTTCCACTTTTCAAAAAAAAAAATTTGCCGTATTGCTGGTAATAATTTTTTTGTTGCTTGTAATAAAAGTATTTTAGGTATTTTTAAAAATTTCTGGTTTAAAACTTTCATAGTGTTTTAACCCCAGTTTGGGGTTTAACTCTTTACCCATAGCTGGGAAACTAACAAGTACTACCACACCGGGTCAGCAATTAAAGATGGTTTCACGCTCCTCAAAACCTCCTGACATTTGCCCGTCCTGGATATGACGATAAAATACATCCTCATCCCGTGTAAGGCGATAAACTACATCCGACAAGGCTTTTGATCATGAGATTTAGAGGAGCATGGAACCACCTCTTAATTGCTGGTGTTCCCAGGTCCACCCTGTCACGGGGTGGTAGCATCTATCAGGGTCTTAGCTATGGATAAATAGTTAACCCCACAAAAGAGGTCAGAACACAATGAAAGTATAAAAATAGGTTATAATACAAGCATTACTTTTTTTTTTAGAAAAAAGATATTACTAGCAATACATTTTTTGAAAAAAAAATATTACCAGCAATAAAAATTTTGCCGGCATTAAATAACCCATTGAGGTTGATATACTGTAAAACAAAACATACCAGATCAATCCAAGCAACATTTGCTAATCTAATGTGCGTTTGGATTTGTTTCACATTTTTCTTCACTTGTTTACACTATTGTTCACCAAAGACCTAAAAGGCTTGCTGAATTGGGTTTCTTTACAGACGTCAGAATTTTAGATTATCAGGATTATGTAAGCCTGTTTGTTCAACAAAACAGTGCCACTTGGGAAAACCTGACCGAATAAAAAACAGATATTTAAACATCTATGCTAGTCTGATTTTGACATTTCCAGTTTGAAGTTCGCACAGGTAGTTGTTATATTTTTTTTTAATTAAAAACTGAAGATTCCCTGACGAAGTCTAGAAAATTCGAAACGTCGTTACAAACAATACAAAGAAAAATATTGTTAGTTTGAAATATTCATTGAACAAAAAACTATTTCTGAAAGAAACATTAAAACAAGGATTAAATCATCTTCAGACCATAAAGATTTCGTTTTGTCGTCATTCCTGCAAAGAGGAAGTGTCTTAATTTTGTATTGATCCTAAGTCGGGATTTTTGGATTTTTTTTCTCTTTCTTACAAAATATGTCGTTTTTCGATTTTTGATTTAGACATTTTAAAGAAGATTAGAAATAGGAATTAAACTAAAAAATAAAGTAAAACCGAAAAAAAGTAAAAATAAATGAAAGGAAAACGGAAATATTACCAATGTGGATAAAGTGACACATTGGTAAATATATAAAAATTAACACAACAAACTGACGTATAAGAACAAAAAACAGACACTACTGGGCAGGAATGGCAATTCAATAGGAACTACGCAAACGGGTTAAACCCGAATACATAATCCAATGCCAGAAGGCATCATTGAGATAATCCAGATTAACATTCTTTAGCGTTTTAAATTTAAGCCTTATTTTCTTATCCAGATGAAGAGGCGAGATAGATTAATCCGAAACAAAGCAAGACACATCTGTCAAATTAATGATTTGGACACCCTTGAAGCCTATATGCTAAAATAATGTCAGAAGATAAAATATATATATATAAAGAAACAAAGAAAAATCTACAACGACCTTGCTTAAGGGCTGCGAATATTGCGTAATACAATAATACCCAACGTGGGGCGCATGACCCACCGGTGGGGAATGGTAATATTTTTGTGGGGTTTGTGTAGGATGCGCATCCTTCGGCTTACTATACCAACAGAGTAAGGGGGGCAATTCAAGAATGAGTTATTAACAGTGAATTGTTTTCTAGTGAGCTCAAATTTCATTTTGCATTATTATTTCATGATCAAAGTATATTACAGAATAAGCTTTCATTCAAATAATTTTATATTTCTTTCTTTCACTTCTCTATTATATGTTTTGAAAATATATATATTTAACTGACTTTATGTGTTTTTAATTTTTTTCTTTCATGGACGCCATGTTCTTTGGAGGCTTGTTTAGAGAAAAGGTTACTGGTCTTTTTAACCCCAGAACACTAACCATGGGTATAATATACCCAGCGCAAATTTTCCTATTTTTAATTACAATTTTCAGTCCCTGATTTTCTTACTTAAATAATATGTTTTTCAGTTCCTATTAATGATAACACAAAGTACAAAGTTTGAAGTGCCTGCATGTAAAATATTTCAAATAAAGATTTATATTTAATTTTTTTTTTTGATATTTTCAAAATCAGGTATGATATACCCATGGTTAGTAGTGGTGTAACTTTAACTGAAGGTTAGTGTTCTAGGGTTAAGCTTCCTTCACGTGAATTGCAGTAAGATTTTGAATATGTATGAATTAAATATTACAGTGATTAGCTGATATTTGATCAGAAAATTTCACTATATAATTTTCGGTTATGATTGAAATCTTGATAATGCCATATGGACGGAAGTGGCCATGACACTCCACAGACACTTTCTTCCATTTATCAGGACTTCTTTTCAAAGATATTGGAAAGGTTTCTTTGTCTTCTTCTACACAGTTTTAAATTCCGAGTGGTCCTTCTCCTAAATTGGTTGCCCATCTTGGGTATGACGATAAACTACATCTGCGTCCTGGGTAAGACGATAAACTACGTCCAACAGCAAGGCCTCTGATCAGGAGATTTTGAGGAGTGTGGAACCACCTCTTAATTGCTGGTGTTCCCAGGTCCACCCTGACCCGGGGTGGTAGCACCTGTTAGGGTCCCAGCTATGGGCAAATAGTTACCCCCCCCCCAATTGGGGTCAAAACACTATGAAAGTGTAAAAATAAGTTTTAATACCAGAAATACTTTTTGTAAAAGGAATTATCGCCAGCAAAACATTTTCGAAGAAAAAAATATTACCATAAATAGATTTATGAAGGAAAAAAATATTACCAGCAACAGAAATTGTTGGCATTAAATAACCCATTGAGGTTGATATGCCGCGAAACAAACCAAACCAAACCTAAATTGGGAAAGTTATGAAATCTCCCCAAGTTATGGGTTAAATAGTAGGAATTTTATCTGGGAAAATCATTGTTTTTTTCCAAGATTGTTAATGTAATATTCTTTCACATAAAAAAGAATTATCCTTACAATACAAAATACGTTAATATTGATGACCAACAAAGTGTTGCTAAACCGTTAGAAAAACAAATCAATCCCTGAATCCGTCCCCTAAACTTGTTACCAGTTCAGAGAGTCCAGACGACTCTGCTATTCAGCCCATAGTTAGAGGAAGCTAGATTCATGCCTTTTCCAAGGGTATTAGCACAAGGTGAACGAAACAGAATCGAGAAGGGATTGAACTCAGCATGTAGAAATCACTTTCCGCGCCGATAAGCTATGGCAAATAAAGATGTGTAAAAAAAAGTGTGAAGACTGTTTACACTTTACTGAACGGATTAAAAAAAATCTGGATTAAAAAGAAAAAATTAGAGACGGCTTTGTTGATGAGAATTCTAAAGGTAGTTATGAAAATCTGAGAGTATTTCCTTCGTCTTCCAGATACTTCTTCGAGAAAAGATCCATAGAGTCATATTAACAAGGGACGATGGTACAAGAAGAATTCTGCAAACGACTTGAGCCAAACAAACCAAAGGCTGTCCTAAAAAAGAGAACAATTAAATAAACTGCGCCATTATTCAAGCAATCTAGTGTTGTGCCTATGATAGTAGGAGCACTTGGAGTT